AGTCTTTTTTCCCCCAGTCAGATAGCAATATATTTTACATTAAAACCTGAAGATGGCAACAGTGTTTTATGTTTTCTGTGGCCCAGCTTGGAAATCAGAGGTGCTTAGTTGATGACTATCAACTATGTTAAACCCTGGTTTGGTGTCTCCCCTATGGTTACAGAGCTCCAGAGCTAAAATTCATTTTATACAAAACTCTCACTTAACATACATGTCTCTGTGGCCTAAAAAAGAGCAAATTGACTCAACTAAGCCCACACACAACTTGATTGTGGTTCAAGACTAATTTCTTGACTTTGAATTAAGGATATTTTCACCATATATACATGGTATTATTAGTTGAGGAATTGTAGGTTAAAAGAGAGAGAAATAATTGAAAAAACTTCAGAAAAGTAAAATACATAAATTAATAGAATTTTGCTTTGAAAAAAATTAGAGTAAGAAAAATGTTTAAGTGTCTACGGGTTATGTCATTTTGTTAGGTATTAAAGATAATACAATTTAGTAAGTGTATGGGGTTTGGCTGCCAAGCTTCCAATCCATTTGAGGATATTAGAAATTCCAAACTGAAAACTGTATAGATAAGTAGCGAAACCACAAAGCAACACAGGTTGGAGCAGTGATGTAGACTGGAAGGCCTGTGCTCCCCAGGGAGGGACGCTGTGATCCTGGACCGAAACTGCACCTTAATCAAACCCTGAAGAGTGGATGGAGATGGGCAGGCTGAGTGCAGGATGCTGAATGTGATGAGCAAGAGCACAGAGGTCAGAGAGCCCAGGAAGGTTCCAGCTGGGGCTGTGCATAGAAATAGAGGGGTAGAAAATTCTGGAGAGGTAGGTTAGGCAAAATTTTAAAAGACCTGCATTATTTAGGATTCTCCAGAGAAACAAACCAATAGAAAATTCATACAAAGAGATTTATTATGAGCAATTGGCTCACAATCATGGAGGCCGGGAAGGCCCACCATCTGTCATGTGCAAGCTGGAGACCCAGGAAGGCGGGTGGTGTAATTCTAGTCTGAGTCCAAAGGCCTGAGAACCATGAGCACCAAAGATGTAAATCCCAACTCGAGAACAGAAGACCCACGTTTCTGCTCCCACAGTCAGACAGAGAACAAATTCTTCCTTTTTCTGCCCTTTTTTTTTTCTGTTCAAGCTCAATGAGTTGGATCATGCTCATCCACATTGAAAAGGACCATCCACTTCACTCATCCTACCAACTTAAGTGCTAACCTCTTCTGGAAATGCCCTCCCAGGTGCACCTAGAAATGTTTATCTAGGTAGCTGGGCATCCTGTGGCCTTGTCATGTTAACCCTCACAATTAACCATCACAACCTTCAGATTTAGACTACATTGTGGATGGCATGAATCCATTATTTACGTTATGTGCTGATTGAAATTGCATGAATATGAAAATTGTATTTTGGTTCTTCAACTCCATCCGAGTAAATACAAAAGTGTAAAGTCTCCATCTTTTCCTATGGGTGAATTGTATTGTTAGGGTGTATGGCAGAGCTCCTGGCAGAAAGGCTGAACTACAACTTGAACTTTACCTAAACTCAAACAATGCATTCTACTTGTTTAGACCATCATATTCATCTGAAATTTAAAAAAGAAAAAACAAAACAAACTTGTACTTTGAAACCATGAATCTAATAGTGATTTGTAAAATGAAATACCATATGGGCCAGTAAAGGGGGAGATTTGTTAGTCCTGATGTGTAAGGTATTTAAACTCACATCCAAACTCTAGAGTTATGAGTGTGGGAAAAGAAAGTTAAGATTTATAAAAATAATGATTGCTAAAAATCAAAGCTCTTTCAATGTGTTAGGAACAAGTGCCATTTACTCTTCACAAATACTCAATATGGACCAAACACTAAAATCTAAGATAACCCAGGTTCAGGATAAGTAACAAACACAGGTAGAGATTCAAACCCAGTGCTATGAAAAAGGCAGGCTCTTTCCACTTCATTGCTTTGCCTCCTGGCCAAACGTACTCATTCAACAGAAACTCATGGTACAAATAACCGAAAATATAGTAGAATTCTTCAGGATGCTCATGTTTTATATGTTTCTGGACAGTTTGGTAAAGTGAGGAGGGGGAGAAAACTCTGATGTAAACAAAGATCTGAGTTCTTCTTTACGCACTTTGTAAGTAAAGCTCAAATAAACGAGGCTGCCAAAAGCCACCCAAGGTTTGAAGTGTAAC